CCCCCCCCCCCCCCACCCCAACCCATTCACTAGTTGCATGTGGAGTAGGCACCACCCGTTGCTAGGAAGCAGGTAAGTGCGCAAGTGACCTAAATTTTTGATGCTAAGTGCGCAAGTGACCCAAAGTGCGCAAGTGACCGAAAAACCCAGTGCGCAAGTGACTGCCCGGCCTGTGTGTGTGGTTTAAGGGTGATCCACAACATCCTATTTATCTACAAACAACCCTTAATCCTGGATTTCTGAAAGGCCGTTTGAGCACCCTTTACTTATCAATACGGCTGGGGGCATCGTGTTTTTTACAGCCAATGTGTTGCGGCGCTTCAACTCGCTCTGGAAGTCTCTTCCAGGGCCATAAATGACGGAGTGGGTTCACCTCAAACTTTGGATAATGGTTTGATGGCTTTGAAGTCGACCAATACCCGCTACGCGGATGACGAATTCTTCGTGGCTTTCGATAACAAATATGGTGGGATCATTGGGGTGGCGAGCAATCCCAACCGCCCAACCGCTGGACGATGGTCCAACCACAGAGGAGCCGCTTTTGGATGACCTGAAGTCCTTGAAGAAGTTGGTGGTAGGCGTCCGACGGTCGAAAAGGGAGGTGAAGATGGTGAAGCAGGATGCGCTTTGAAGCGCCAAATGAGGACAGCTACATAGATCCCAGGAAACATGAGGAGTACTGCAACATAATATCATCTTTGCCAAGCGATCATTCCGGATGCATTGTTGTTTGTTTGAGTCTAATGATGTTGTTGATGGGAGCGGCGTGCAGATAAGAAGCAACGCGATTTGCCAGAGCCTTAGTTGACTTATGTAGAATCTAGCCAGCATGCCGTAATGTTGGCATGTCGAAGTTTGCCCAGTGGTGTTCTTCGAGATGCCATCCTTGAGGCATTTACTGCAGCTTCAAGTTGGGCTCGGCATTCGCAAAACCTTCCAGAAGGCAGGTGTTTGCACCTTTGACACAAAGCATCCAGAGACTTCTTGGTGTTGGTCAGTTCCAATGGGCGAACAGCATTTGGGCATGATATCCACAGTAATTAATCAACAGCACATAGCAGTAGCCTACGGCCTACGATTGTGAAGTAAATTGCATTATATTGCACTGGTCACTCCAATGTTTGCAGTTTGTTCGTATGCCCGTCATGCTTATCATGTTAGGTACACTTTGAGCTACGTAAAGTTCTTAGCTCCAGGTTTAACCTTGTGCGGAGCACAAGCAGACTCAAAGAGGGCACGTAAACGATATCCAACCTCAAAGCATGAAGCAACGAGAAGAAGTGATCTCTGTCTTGCTTGTGCTGAGACAGTTCAAGACCTTCAAGTTGCACCAATGCTAGGCCTCGCAACGCGAGGACAGCATGCGAGCAGGCGGGTGATGCGTTCTAGGTTGCACTGATGCCGTGAGTCGTCTTCAAGTGCCACAAGGGAAATTCTTCACTCCAGGGTGTCTAGTCGTCCCATTGCATATGGATTACTTCTCGCGTCTCCGGAGAAGCCTGAGCTGAAAGTACAACAAAATATAACGAGATTGAGATGTTCCCGTCATGTGTGTTTTACAGTTGCTACAAAGTAACCAGTTTTCCTTTTGGGCAGGAACCATTTTTGAGTCTTTGAGGCAAGTACAGCTGTGACATCCTTTATTACTCGTGCCAGTATAGCAGGAACAATGAGTAAACATTTCCCCATGGTTGCACATAGATTGGCAAGACCACCGTACCAGTTGCAACCCAATTCGATGATGCGCACACAAAAAAGAAGATTGTGACCTCATTATATATAGATCCCTGTATTTCAACGTACCTGGATTTTGTGCATGCTCTGAACCTGTAGTTACCACAGCGAGACTTTGTTTGAATTGAATTGGTGTTCTTCCAGCTGCTTTTGTGCGAGCAAGGCGAGCAAAGAAACTCCACGGCTTCCTGGTAGCAGCCTGAGAGATGCCCTCCGATCTGTTGGGTAATTTGTGTTGCAAAAATTACATAAATTTACTACATCGCCCCTTTTGAATTGTGTGCTACTAATCTACCGAGTATCAGGAAGTGGAGGATTCCCATGGATTCCCGATAGCCGATCGTGTAGAATTGTTCATTCACCAACAGCTGGACCGTCATCAGGCAACTTCTCTTCCAGTCGCATTCTGAACGCATTAAGTCTAGGGCCTAGGGGTTCAAATGGCCATAGCCTTGCCAATGGATCTTGATGTCCCTTCAGAACTTGAATTGCCAATGGATACGTCCCATGCCCCGAATGGATGGCCTTCCTCCACCACGGTGGAGTCCACCACGGACACCACCGGTCTCCAACAGGTCGTCAGGTCCGACACCTGTGCCACCGACTCCAGTCAGGGCCATGGGCGAGCTGGGAGGGACGGCTCATCACGGCTCCGCAAGAACCTGAAGCAACAGATAGATTGGGGGCTACTACATGGAACAAGATGAAGGATTATTTGCTTGGAAACAACGTGGCATAACAAATGGATGGAGTTTGATTGTCTCCTCTCTCACGCATGGGTTAAACATTGTCAAATATCCTCAAAATGTGATAAACATGTGCAGTAGTATGTGCAGTGTGTTTCCAGCAATTTGTTTCCGCCAGTCAATAATGTGTCGGTCAGCACCTTATCATCCTTAACGTCGACCCGGTGCCGCGGACTTTGAGGAGCTACGGCAGATTTCGTGGGAGCCACAGACGTTGCGGTTCCGTGGCGAGTTGTGACCGGGCCGCCCGGTGGGACGAGAGACCGGGCCGCCCGGTGAGTCTTGAAGAGGCCAAAAGGCCCAAGGAAGCCGCGGTTTGATGCATGTCGGAACCCAGGAAGAAATCCATCGCCGAAGTTGAAACGCTCTTGCTGAGAACTCAGCTGCATATCTGATGATGCAAGACATTCAGTATCACTCAGGGCAACTTGTTGGGGGTGTTGATGTTGACCTGCCGATATGCCACCATTGCACCTTCAATACTTTGAGAGACCTTCAATACTTTGTTCAATGAAACTGGAAGAACTAGCAGCTTGCTGGAACTCTTCCTATCCTCGTTCATCTCACTCGCCTACACACTTGACATGTTGTGAGCGGGGATCACAAAAGTCTGGAACATGGAAGGACTTCAATATAATAGAAGCCCTTCTTCGTGATCCAAAAGAAGCTGATACTGCACGGCTCGTTCTGAGGACCAATCTCACCGGTTTCAAAGATGTGTGGCACCCCAGAGGGAGTCGTTCCTCAAGAGATTGATTCATTCACTGTGTCCTGCCAGGTGGATTCATCATTGCCGGGGTCCTTGATCTTTGTTTGGTTTTGGGGCTGAGCGCAGGAGCAACAGAGCGAGAGAGGACCACTGACCTGTATCGCATCTCCATGCAAAGATTCAAACTTTGGACCGACGGGAGTTCTTTCTGTTCCCCTCTTTACTTGGGCCATTTTGAGTCTACGATTCTTTGACCTACAAGCCTCTAGCAACTGCAACCTTCTCCTGATGATGCTTGCATTGCATTGCCGGCATTCTGAGGAACCATGAGACAAAAGTAATCAGAGTGCACAGGACGCAGAATGTACGCAACACCACTTTCATGGATATATAGTAATATAATATAATATATATATATATATGATATGATGATTTTGATATGGATCTAGGCTGTAGGTGGTTTCAATGAAACGATGATGATTACGGACATCTCACCAACAACTTGCCGACAAATCGACTCATCAGACGTGCGCTCTTTCGTGCGCAGCCGTGCTGTGCCCGGCCGTGCGCGGCCGTGCGATGTCCATGTTGAAGTGGTCGGGGGACTATTCGCTCCCACGCCTTCGAGCGAAGCTGGCGACCACGGGAGCTGGGACGTCTTCCAGTCCGGAGTCTGACTATGCCGAGGTTTATCGACCTGACTTAGGGCTCAGCACCATCTTGAAGAAGGAGTCTCCAGAGTTCTTCTCCGCCGTGGCGGAGACAGGTGGGGTTGAAGCCTTTGCAAGATCCAGTGGCTACCGAGGCTTCCGGAAGGGGAAGGTCGTTGCGCCACCGGGAGTGCTCAGCAAATCCAGTAGCCTCACGGCCACTCAAACAGTGAATCTCACCATGAAGAAGAGTCCAAGCATGGGAGGCAACAAGCTGGGCGAGGGCGCCCAGCAAAGCATGACTCGGGCCTTGTCAGTTCCCATGTTAGGATCCAGAGCCTTAGAGAGACAGCCAGGCAATGCCCATGCTTTGCCACCCACTTGGCATGTGAAATCCAGTTCCAGCCTTCCGGGCTCGATCAAAGCAGCTTCACCTGATGATCCCAAGGAGAAACAAGTGGAAGCTGCATGCAAGAAGCTTTGGACTGCAGTTCATGGAAGCGAGAATCTTATCCAGACAACATGCGAAGCGCTGAGAAAGGAGCAGTATCCAACCAACCAGGCCTATCTAGCAGCTTTGAACAAGTCTCTTGCCAACTTTCCCGGGATGTTGAGAGCCATAAAATCTGGTGCCAAGATTGATTGGCACAATCCAGAGTGGGATGGTGCGACCCTTCTCCTTCGTGCTGCTCGCACGGGGTCTAAGGATCTTGCCCAATTTTGCTTGTCACAGTCTGCCAACATCCAAGAGAAGGACTTTTCTGGAAGAGGTGTACTCCATTGGGCTGCTTTATCGGGCAACAACTTCTTGGTCCAGTACTTGTTGACTTCTTATCCTGAGCTCGACTTAGCCTTGGCCGACCACAGCGGTGACTGTGCCCTTCACTTGGCCGCCTATGCTGGTCATTTGGGCGTGGTGCGTCAGCTGGTCCTGGCTGGTGCCAAAGAGACGGTGGTGAACTCCGGAGGCTTCACACCGGCGCAACTGGCGGAGTCCAAACGCATGTGGCATGTCTCCAAGTTTTTGCGTGAGAACCAGAGTGGTGAGGCCGTGAAGGTGGAGGGTTGAGGGTTGCAGAGATGCTTCATTAATATTAATGATGTTATATGATGTTTATTAAAAACAGAAGATGTGTTGGTTCAATAGTTAGGAAATGAATCTGCAACCGTCCAAACGTTTCATTCAACACCGAGATAATGGCGCACAAATACTGTAATCAATATAAATCGATATACAGTACATGATTGATACATGAGAGGCTTGCTGTGAGCCGTACGCGCGTACGTGAACGGGCCGCTTTCTCCACAGCATTCTCCAGGACCGTTTATCACACATTTTGCGCTACGTGGATGACTCGCCCCATGGGAGCGAGGCGCCCTTGAGGGAGGTTTGCTGGAGACCATGTGAGCTGTCCTGGGCAAATGTTCTGGAGGAATTGAGGAAGTTCTGAGCAGGCTGAGCAGACCACAACTTGTTTCACTGAGGACCAGAAGTTCCTTCAAGAGGATCCGTTCAGTCCTTGGCTGTAGCTGCTTGCAAGCAGACTCTTGGTGCGACAGTAATTGTCAGTAAAGATTTGTTTCATGTGAGAAACACTGACACTGTGTTTTAGTGTGTTGCTTCAAGCGGCTTCATGGTCCTTTTCATTGCCTTCATCATCAAGCAAAAGGGTGAATGCTCTCCAACAAACGTTGGGCCGCAGACAGAATCGCCACTGCTGGAAAAAGTCATTGGAGCCTCCTCCGGTGTGCATTTCCATCGTACTCGCGGTTGCCATGGAAGTGTTTTCAATTGCCACCGTACCGAAACTGTTCACAGGACAATGTGGCTGTGGCTAAGAATAGAGGAGAATACAAGGTGCAGGCCAAATCAGGCCTTGCTCGGCAAAGGCACCAGTTGTGCCAGGGCAGGTTTTCAGAAGTAGAGCTTAGTAACGCTGATAATAAGGCTGAAATTAGGGAATGAGGGACAATGAGAAATAGATAGGAAACACAAAAAACATCGAACAACCTTCGAAATCCAGCCTCATGCCCTGAGCTTTTCGCACCCCTCCGGAGCCTCCGGATCCCTTTGAGCGAACCCCGCCGAACTCGCGGCCTCCTTCGCTGTCCCCGGGCTCAGGTCGATCCGCTCCGGGTCGCTCCGCGCGAACTCCAAGGATTCGACCTCACGGCGCCAGGCGACCTTCTGGGCCGTTCAGCGAGCGACATCACGTTGGTAGGCATTGGGAGGTCATGAAACTCATTGCGAGTAGCTACTAGTAACAAGGTGCATCGCTACTTAGTAGCAAGGATGCTACCAGTAGCAAGGTGCCTTATACTACTATATTAGCTTGTTACTACTACTGTGTCCAGGAGTGATCAACTGTGTCCAGGCAGAGTCGCCAGAACTTTCTCCTGAGGAGGACTGAGATGCTTTTGGGTGGCAATTGGTGCAAATAGTTCTCACAGTAGGTTGGCCTTACACAAGGAATTGTGCTTCCAATGTAAGTACTTGTAGGTTTAAGTCCCACCAAGGGCTGGAAGAAGAGTCTCCACGAATGTGTGCATTGGAAGCGAAGGCTGCATGGAACGTTGCTCCCATGCCTTTGCCCCTGGATCCTGTCGAGTTTTGTCAGGAAGAAGAACGGCTCCTGAAGACAGCGCAGGAATTGGAAAGCAAAGAGCTGGTCTGGAAACTCATTTTTGTGAGTTGTTATGGATTCTAGTAGCGTTCTTGTTCCTAGTAGCGATGCCCTTTGCTCCTATGTAGTAGCTTCTTGCTCCTAGTAATACGGCCAGGATGTCTGCTTACATGAGCTATATGATATATGATATTAGGATTCTGGGCTCTTCTCCGGGTAACCCGGTGGGTGGGTCGCAGGAGACAACAACCAAGCGTTGGGTCGAAGCGTCATTTCCATCAGCATAAGATTTCCAGGGCATAAAACTATGTTGCCAGATTTACGTTGGACAAAGTGTGTCTTCCATATAGTGATCAAGATGTGTTTTGTCATCGCGAGTTTCATTAACCTTTCATTTTTAGTGGGTTGTGTCAGTTGTGCAAAGCAAATGACTGTGGACTGTGAACCATGAGAAAGCGTTTCAACGGTCCAAAACCACCTCTAGAATCTTCAGACTCCTTGTGTCGTCTGTATCCTTCTTGTGTCGTCTGTATCCTTCTTGTGTCGTCTTGCCGAGTTTCTCTTTGTAGAGTTTCCGCCCGACTTGAAGCATCCTCGCCAACACAACTCGTTTCTCACAGGCACAGACTCTACGCTTGCAGCAGAGCACAGGCAGGTCCTTCCTGCAAGAGATCACAATAGGCCTTGACACATGATGATGCTGTGCTTGGTGGAAGCAACGATGTTTGTGAAGAATATGTACGAGGGTGCTTTCTGATTGTCCATAGGTGAGGCTTTGTTCATGTGTCAGATATGTAGATATGAATATGTGCTTTTGAAGTTTGGAGGTTTCTTCATTATTCATCCACGAGTAGATGTGTTTGCACAGAGACATGAAGAACAACAATACCCTGCTTCGAATTCAATTCCATCGCGGAGGGGCGCGCTCCAGAAGCAGCTCGCGGCACGACTGGCCAATGCCCGAGTGGTGAAAGGGGAGAAGCAGCGATGATTAAGCAAATTGTCACCCGTGACCAGTGTATCAAATTCTAGGGCAGAGGTTGCGGAAACTAATACAAACCTTGAGGAACACATGATCTTTACTTTATTGATGAATACAGAATATAGATGGAATAATGATTAATATGTAGAATATTGCTTAAATATATTCAGATGATATATTGGCTGAATATCCGAAAGCGGCCTTTCCCGGTCCGGACCGTCCGGTCGACACCAAGGTTACACCCCAACGCCGCGAGGTCCCATGGAGCACCAGCGACCCCACAGGCGCCGGAAAAGCCGCGCCCGAAAAAGACAGGGTGCCGTGCATCAATTGCTCAAAGCTTCCGTAAATAATAGACTGTGATGGATCATGGACATGGCCAGCCAGTTATTTTTGTGAAACCTACCTTTGGGGGTATAGTTATACGGTATACGGGTGTAGACTGCACCCACAATGTACCAAGGAATTGAGTTCTTGGGACATGTTTTCTTTTTGTGCATTTCTTCGACACACAAGAAGCTGCGCGGAGTGAGTATTCCTTGTGTTTGGTTTGCCCATATCCATAGAGTGCAGCACTGGTCGTTGAACAGCACAGATAGTGAAAAAGACAAATGACTCATTCAGATACTGAGATTTGGAAGCGGCTCCATTGATTTGGGCAAAGTCTAGCAAGGACAGGGGAAGATGGTTATATAACAAGTTGACCTTGACATTGTTATTTTAGCTTGACTTTGCAAAGTGATGAGAGGTGCCTTTGCAAAGCATGGTAAGATCCTGTCTAGGCATAACCAGCCACTGATCTGATCACAAAATGCTAAGAACTGACCTGTGATGCTCTCACTCATTTCGGTCTGTGGCCTCCGGATATAAGGAACAAACTATTTCCTCGAAACAGGTCCGCTCCGGCCCATGGCTGTCCGTCGTGCCCAGCCGGTGTTTCTTTTGATGCAAAAAGTCGCCAACATGGTCGTGTGGCCAAGATCTCGAACCGCAAGCTTCTCTCAAAACTGAAGCTCCACACCATCAACGGCACCGAACCCGTTTGCGTGGTCAAGGCCCCGAACAGAATCCAAAAACACCTCATGATGTCATCGATCTCTCATTCTGGCCTGTAGGGCACTGTAGGGCCTCAGAAGCAATGTGTTCGGTCACAGACAGGGCCGCTCCAGAAATGTAAACCTCCAGAAAAGGACTTGGAGACCTGGCGCTGGAGCTCAATAAGGTGCAAACAACGATAGTGAAAGCAACGATCGGCGAGGACCAACGAAGCAATGAGATCAGCAAACTTGAACCTATACCAGGACCATCCTGTTTGAGTTTGGGTGTCCTGGCTGGACTACCCTACACAACTTAGGGATCTCCATTGGACACCCCTTGGATGGTCATATCGTGTGTTGCCTAGATTCATACTTGCGCACAGTTAAGCATTAAAGATGGGAGATGCTGGTGATGTACTGATGAATCTGAGAAGTGGCTACCTAGTAGCTTCTTGTTCCTAGTAGCGATGCCCTTTGTTCCTAGTGGCGTCCTTGCTCCTAGTAGTAAGGCCCTTTGCTACTAGTAGCGACGCTGGAGGGACCAGTAGATCAGATGGAGGTAGGTCTTGAATCTGTTGATCCAGAAGATTGGCCAAGCCACCCCTTTTTCACCACGTGGGTCTCCAGGTTCCAAGACATCGGCTACAACGAGCTCCCAGGTTTGTGGACACAGAGCTGTTGACTAAAAAACAATGGGTAGAAGACGTGTCAGTGTCATGCAGGGGTTCTGAGAGCTTCGGTTTTTGTGGAGTTTCGTTGTAGCTTTTGAATCTTTTGGGTCGTCAGATTAGTCCCAGAGTGGCAAAGACCCTATCGCAATCGACAACCCATTGTAAGCCACCTGCTCCGTTGGTGTGTGTGTGTAGTTGTTTGACATGTTTTGACAATGGGGGTACCCCAAGCTATCATGGGTTCTGTACCGCTTGCCCATCCGGACACCATGGGACAGAATGGACGGGCTCGTTCTGTGTTGATTGGGTATGAAATCATCATGCGGATTTGTGCATCAACGTGCAAAGGCCTTAAGGGATAAAACACTTATTTGGGCAGTGACTACCTGCTGTAGTAGCTTCTTGTTCCTAGTAGCGATTTCCTCTGTTACTAGCAGCGTCCTTCTCCTGGTAGTAAGGCCAGGAGCTACTAGTAGCGTCCTTGCTCCTAGTAGCGTTCTTTAGGGTTTCTGATGCGTGAAGATGCTTTGGACCGACGGGCCTTAAGGAATGTGTTCTTACGCTGCGCCGGAAAGCGGATCCGTCAAGCGTCAGTAAACACTCGAGACTTCATCGCTGCCCGAGGTGCTTGCAGCCATTGTCAGAGAAGGACAGCTCTGGAAACTCTCCCAGGGATTGAAGCATGTCGAATCAAAGTAGAATGGGAACTCCTCAACTCCTCTACATGTGCGAAACCCAGGAGAATATGAACAAACACACCAGAAGTTCCAAGTGGCAACAAGTCGGCGAAGTTCCACTGGCCTTTCGCTCGTGTGAGGACCTCGCTGCCCGGCGCATTGGCAACGTGGTTTTTTGGTCACATGGCGATGTCATGGGTCGGGCGGCATCCGTTCAAGATGACCCCCAACTTGGTAGTCATCCCTCATGCCATCGTTCATGCCATCGAATGGCTTGGCTTTTTACTACCAACTTGTTAGTCTACGAGATGATCCGCTACTTGCCATCGAATGGTTGGTGTTTTGTGCATCTCTAATTCATCGACTTGGGAGCCTATACCCGAACGGCGGTTTCAGTTGGAGCCGGTGCAGATTCGCGGCTGACCAGTGGATTAGATCGTTGAGGTAGTTGATCAATGAAGAAACTGATCACCACCCCTTTGCCCAAGCTCTCAGACATTTTGCCTTGAGTTAGTGAGGAAAAACCTGAGACACCACTTATATAGAAGGTTGTGCCTTGTACACCTTGTACTGCAGAAATGGTAAGCCAAGTGTGAGTCATCCTTTAGGTGCCTTTAAGTCCAAGGCACAGCAGTGCTTGGCCAAGATTGCTGCGTCCAAGCGAGCATGTCGCTGCGGTCAAAGAGGCCGGGTAGGCAGGCTCTCGCTGACGGGGTGTGATCTCGGCCAAATCTCGGTCTGGCTTCGTCTCCGCATAGGGAAGGTGGTATCTTCAAAGAGATTCCCTCGACCTTTCGAGACAGAGAACAGAGGGCCCTAATAGGCCCTAACTAGGGCAACGCGGCAACGCTCCACCTAGAAAAAGCGGGGACTGTGCTAAAGTTGCTATGACTTTGCAGTTGTCATCCTGATTGACCAAGTGCTAATTTTGCATTGCTGCATTGATGATTGATGACATGTTTGAAGCAAAATTTGTCTGTAAAAGAATGGCATGGGAGGATTTTGCACTTATACTTCTGATGTAGGAAGGCTTTAGCTCTCCTATTATGAGGGTGACGAGGGTCAAACACTTAGGCTTTGCCACGCAGCCGCTCTCCCAGGTTCCACCGCGATACGAGGTCTCCGAGCGCTTTTGCACAAGCATTCGCCGCGACACGTTCGCGTCGCGTTGGTCGAAAGCACAGCTGCTATACATGATAAGCCTGTTGTGGACACTTCATGACTCATTGATGACCTTGTATTACTGTATGGCTCAAGTCAGAGGAGGATTGGCATACTGACAGAAGAATCTAGAGGAATGGATGCCCCCTTATGTTGTATTGACGCGCTTGGATGATGAAGGCTTCGGTTGCCTAAATCCTAATGCATGTTCACATGTAATATTTAATTGATTGTACTCTTTTACTGCAAAAGGCAGGCCGTGGCTTCATGGAGTATGAGCATGATTCTCTGCAGCGCTCAGAGTTCGGAAAGGGCACCTTGGAAGAGAACGCTCGAAGGCGGATTCCTTTGGCGGCCTGTTTCCGTTCTGTGGCCTGAGGATGCATGAGGAACATGGGGCTGGTGCTTTGTATTTTCTGAACTTGGCTACAAAAGTCGGGAAGCGCAAGAGGCTAAGCCTAAGCCTTTTGAAACGCCCCATAGACAATCATTTTCCTCTAGCATTGTGCAGATAAGACTATTATATACATAAGAGTTCGATCTAAGAAGGCCACCGGATGCCACCGGTATGTTATGTGTTTTCTTTTGTTCCTGTGCTTCTCAGTGTGCTTCTGGTCTCAACACCAGACATCTCGCTGGCCACCGTCTGGACGTTCCGCAGGTCTGCGAAAGCTGCTTTGTGGTCGCGAGGGATCCATGTGGCGGATCCCGAAGGGACGATGCCGCTCGGTGGCTATCCGGGCAGAGCGCCGGGAGAGCGGTTTGTAGAAGTGATATCAACCACATTCGCTTCTAAATTATCCCGGCCATCCTCCTTTTCAGTCCCATCAATCGATGACATGAGCTTCTACAGACATCTTGATCCAAAATCCCTTGGCAAGTGAATGAAACAACGGACATGTCGATCAGCCTAAATCACAGAGATTAGACTTGAGATTCCATTTGTTTGACCACTGCATGCTGAGGAAACGCATGTTTCAGAAGTTCATCGGTGACAAGCTTGAACAACGGCAGAAACAGGCTGGGCTGATGCCTTCAATTGCCTTCGCAAAATGTGCTCGCTAGTGCAGACACAAGGGGGAGCGACATGATTTTTATATGCACATATATGCACTCTCGCACTGACTCACTACTGTGTAAATATCCATACAAAAACTATGGTGAATGCTCGCACGATCTCAATATCTTGCACACAACAGCAGCGTGTCAAAACTTTGGGGCAAGTGACTTGTTTTTTGCAGGTTTCCAAACAGTCCACCCGCATTGCAGCAGTCGCCAGTTCTTCCAATAGACGCAACTGTACAGATGTCGCTGAACTTAAAACAATCCAAGTATCATCCAAGTTTAATTGAAATCCGCTTTCGCCGAAGCATGCTGAGGACACATCTGCCAAATTGGCTGATGCAGACAGTGGCAGTAGTTCTTCCAGCTCCAGCTCAAAGAAAAAGAAGAAGATAAAGAAAGCAAGAAAGGCAAGCGACGTACCAAAGGCATGCACTCTGGCACTGCCTCATGTGCATCAGGCATTGTTGCGGTAAAACGAGGATCAAGGACGGTAAGGTAAGGTAAAAGCAATGGGCTATAGGCCACACATGGCCACGCATTGCATGCAAAAGCAAGGCATCATCTCAGCTCCAGTTGGAAGGCCAAAATAAAAAAGAAGGACAAGAAAAAACATGGGAAAGAAAAAAAGGCAAAGTCAGAGATGCTGGCTGTTGCCTCAGATTTTTTGCCAGCCTTGATAGATGCTGTGTATGTGCACCTGCTTGATGAAATCTATCCACCTGTTGTATTTCAAGCTTGTGCGGTCCCCAGTATTCAGGCACAGTCGGTTGCCGAGGTTCGGTTGAAGCGAGAGAGAAAAGAGGCAGACCGAGAGGCGGCAGAAGAGTTGGGCAGACTGGGGACGAATCCGTGGGGAAGTGATCCCTGTGTTGTTTCTTTATTTCTTATCCCACCTTCATGTGCACGTTCTGAGTGGTGGATCTAAATTATTGTTTTTAGCAAGTAGAACATAGTAGAACTATTGACATCAAAGAACGTCAATAGATCTTCTTGACATCAAAGATTTGTGTGCTTGGCGAGCAGACCATGTCCATTGCTACGGACAGCTGGAGGCTTCCTTGGATCCCAAGTTTACCAAGATCATTGATCGCGTCTCGTCTTTTTTGCATGTCTTGTTCCAAAAGAACGTGCTGCAGAGAATACCTTATTTGTTGAGACTCTCGAAGGTAAAGGATAAAGGACGTGGATGAATTGTGGGTATCGCATGATTCGTCTGAAGAGAGCGTTTTCCATGTAACAGATGCGTCCACTAGACCGACATACTCACTCCAATCAGCTGAGGTTTCCGTCAGAACGTCAACTCGTTGATACCAACGAAGTAGATGCCATGCCGAACCTAGAGCAGCCTGTGCAGGTGTCACTCATATTTGATACTGGAAGGAACAAACTTTTCTGATCAAGGGCCAAAGGATGAGAGAAGCGACCCGGATCAAGTGCGAATGGGTGAAGAAAGAAGTGATATCGCCTGAGCGCACATGGAGAGAGCCTACATGGAGGCAAAAAGGGCTGGATCCTTGAGTCTTCTGCACTTTGGTCGATTGACGTCCTTTGACGTTCACTGCCGACCCAGCACAAGAGGATGCTGTGCGCAGCACCCAGACCGGTCGAGCCTGCTGTGCAGAAAAATTGCCCGGGTGCAGTGAACGAAGTTGGAGGCCATCGCTAGTAGGTGGAGGACATTTCCATTAGGTTCCTTATAGTATTAGGATGTATTAGGTTGGAGGCCTATTGGCTTCGTGCTGCTTCGTGCGAAGCAGGTCGACGTTCGATCTCGGTGTCCAGGATCTGGGCGTCCCGTCACACACCTTCATCGTGGCGCAGCCGAAGCAGGCGGAACACGGGCCTTTTTGGCACCGAAGCTGTAAGTCGAAGTTCCAGGACTTTGCTGGCGGTCGATGCTGTAAAATGGGGGGCTCCGATTTATCCATCTATAGGATATAAATGGATATTAATAACTATATATAGTTACTATAATATGACCATATGATGTAGTTTATTCAGTGTGGATGGTATGTTGGAATCCTCAGGTGCATGAAGCAGGATAGTTTGCGCTTTGTGCAGCCTGTGCAGCTTTCTGCAGCTTTGAACCACGAACTCACCGAGACACCGGAGATTGTGTTGAAGCATTCCATTATCGCAGATATCGCAGCCCTACATGTGTTTTTAAATATATATATATATATACATATATGTGTTTTTTTGTAGTCTGAGTCTGGGACTTAGAAAAAATAATGTTCATACAATGAGGGCCACCTGAAACCTTCTCTCTTTGCTTCATGGAATGCTTTTGCCAGTGACAAAAGACACAGTGACCACCCTTTTGGAGTGGCGGCATCCCAAGCAGAAACATTGCACGAACACATCAGCTCAAATGGTGAGGTGGTTGAGCTGGAGCAGGCCATCTCATCGGATTTATCCGCGTGGGCGAAGGGAATGTGTTTTGCATTTTGCGTTTGGATACGTTTGGTGCCGTCACTGGTGGCTGTATGTGGCTTTCTACATTCTATGCCGAAGAAACTCGATGCAGACTATATAGTGACGTCAAATTGAAGAGTTTGGGCAATCGCACCTATCAAGACTGAACATGGTGACCGCATACAATGCAGAATGTGTCTTGCGATGTTGACGTGTGAACCCTGTTCCTCTTCCTGTGTCTCGAACGCCAAGCCCTTGCCCGTACTGTACCAGGATCAAACACTGCGCTTGGAAGAGGCCTTAACCTTAGCATTGCTGTGTTCTTCAAAGCAGAAGAGCTTTTGGAGTCGTTGACGACTGTTCCCGAATGTCAACGTGAGAATCCAATACACCTGGTGATTGCAGATTCATGTTGCCCCAGCACAGATTTTGCCACAGGATTGCAAGGTTCCTTCAATCTACAGTATTTATATATATATATAGTTTCTCAGACGATTGCTGGCATAGGTAGTCTACATCTACAATCTACATGTAGATTGGATAATTTTGTGAAAGCCAGGTTAATGGTTCAGCTTTTTGACGTTATATCTACAAGGATTCACAAATAGGGTCGAAAACAGGTTCAGCCACGGGAAAAGCCCATATCCCAGATCGATACGCCAGGGGACTGGAATCTATGCCTACAGTGACCCCTGAACACCAACATAATTGGGTAAATATGTCGTTTGCGTAAAACTACCATATTTGAGATCCACCCTTTGCACCGGTGCATGTTCGCTGAGACTCCGGACTCATCCAGCTCCAGCTCCAGCAGCTCCATCTCGCCGCTTGGTCGGTGCTTTTGCACCCAGAAGTCTGAAATGAGTTTTCGGTGCCTTTTTGGGCCCTGTCTGAAGGGATCATATTTCATTACATAGATATCATAGATCCACAGTAGTATGTTCAATTGGTCAATGTTCCTTTTATTAGAACTGATCAAGGTTGGTTGATTTGGTATATTTACACCACGTGCTTAGTTGTCCGCCCTCCAGCTGACATAGTTGATACGGATGATGTGCCATGGAAGACAGAAGGTTGCTCGCGGTGTAGATAATTGTAAATATGTTGTTGTTTAATGCCCATGGGGCCCTATCCAAGCATTGTGTCATCTCACAAGGCACTGGTGAAATGAGTCACAAGCAGGTTCCTGACCAGGCTGGTGTAGGTGCCACCCTATTTCTTCCGTGGCAGGCGTCGCATGGCATGAGTGACAAATCACTGAGGCCCAAAGGGAAATTGGCCAAGTCCTGCTTGAAGCCTTGGAGATCGTTTGGAGCTGAAGGGACCACGACGTGCTGAGCAACAAAAGCAGCCAGAACGATTGTAGCCTTATTTGTGCAAGAAGGTGACCATTCTCGCAAGGCCCCAACTCCAACAAGTGTGACTTCATGAGGTATTTCTAAAGCTTTGTCCAGCATTCACATTGTCAATATTTACACAAGGGCAGATAGATAACTCAATGACCAATTCACTCTTCCCCTGTGGAAAGCCTTCGTGACAGAGCCTGGCCGTAGCTGAGGCCGGTCGAAGCCTTCATTGGAAAGAGCTTCATTTTCCCGCAGCGTCGAGGCGGTTGCTAGGAACAAGTGCATCGCTACTAGGAACAAGTGCCTTACTACTAGGAGCAAGAAGCTGATTGATGATTGATTTGTTCCCATCGGCCAACGACCCCGTCTCCTCGTGCTTCACCTAGCCAAAACGGCTGGTCTTAGGAAGTGTGAAGGCCGCCGAAGTCTCGGTGCGGACCGTCCAGTGCGTGTGGGATCTGCGTGGGTGGGCAGGTGAAGGCTCCGATTCGGAGAACCAGGTTCGAGCATCATTCCAATCACAATAAGCACATGTTTCAGGTGCCCTACTATTATTGATGTCATTCTGACAAAGTGCGCAGATGAGCCCGACTCAAGGAGAGGGAGCAATCTGAACTTTTTGGATGTGGTCTCGGTACTGTAGACGAATGTTGAAGCCCAGCTGCGTATCCTTGGGAAGATTCTGAGAGGAACCCACGAATTCTGGCCCTGAGATTGCGAAGAGACTGAAAGCAATCATTTACAACGGCTGACTAATCCAGCACCACCGTTCCACGGCCACACCGCTGTGGTTTCGGTTTCGACGGCCACACCTGGTCCATCTCCGGTCGTATGACGCATCCGAGGCTGGAAATATGGCGAAGGGTGATGCGCCCAGACCCTTCTTCTCTCGGGCAAAATCTTGAATGTCACTGATAGAGTAGAAGCATGATCGTGACTGATAGACCGTTGAATTTTATTCTTGATACCCTGTATATATACTAAGTTGAAATCAGTGAAACATGGCTTAACCAAGAATCATGTTCTTGAATCGGCAGAACCATGAACCATGATCCATTCATACATTGCCCATCAGCTGCTTTGAGATCTTTGAGGACAAAAAGTCGCAGAGAAGCCAGCTGTTGTCCCGACGCAGGAGGCGCAAGCAATTGCCAGGCAGTTACTTTTTTGTGTTGAGGATATTTAGAAGGGAGCTGGAGGATTAGGAGTCAGAGGTTTGGGTAAAGTGAATCGTGTATGGATCTGAATGCCCTTTGCAAGACAAATGTGTTTTGTTCAATTGCATTGCGACAGGATGCACATTGCGGTACGAACAGAGTGCGACAGTCGACCCCCTTGTCCACATCTCGAATCGAGACATCGACAGCCAGGTAGAGGTTGAAGCCAGCTCTCATGCAGCTTGGGAAAAGATCAAACGCACACGTGGCTTTGCAGCGTGGGCATCTCAGAGTTGGCGACTTTGACAGGCAACATGTTCAAGAGAATCTCGGGGCTTGTGCCCCAACAAAATCCGAGGTTATGTCAGAAACGATGAAAAGACTTAAGCAATAAATTCAATAAATAGAAACTCTAATATATGGTTTTATATGTTCTAATGTGGTGTTTAATGTTATTAGTTCAATTCAATAGATATAAAGTATGTTCCAAAACCATATACAGCAAAAAGTGTTTTGGTTTAACATATCGTATTATAGTTTAGTATTGTATTGAGTACAAGACGTAGCTTGTGGAGTACGAACAAAAACTTAGCACCAGAATGTTCTGATTGTAGCTTTTGGGTTGGATGGGTCAAAAGTAACAGAAGCTGACGCAGAATAAAGAGGAAAGGAAGGAAGATAAAATTGTAGGATGAGGATTTACCTCCCTATGGAGAGCGAGAAAGAAGGAAGGCAACAAATAAAGGAGGGCAGTGCCGAAAAAGACTTTGTAGAGCGAAGGAGCAGAGGAAGCGTGGACTGGGCTGGTTCGAAAGGCCGAAAAAACCGAGGAAGAAGAAGCGACGAACCGACACGAAAATAAGCACCATGCCGGTCATCAAGGAGAAGCCGAAGACAAAATGACGATCTGGGAGCCTACGATACTATTGCTACACAAACCCATGGATTTATTGTTTATATATACCAAACCACATTCTACAAACCACAATTTATACAAAATTACATTGTATGACAAAAAACTATGTATACCACATTACTACCATTAAAGAAGACCAAACCACGGCCGATACTAACTACCATTTACACCTTACTACGGTTTACACCAACTACCATTAAATTTAATTAACGTTCGTTTTACACCATTTCACGGATTACACTGACTACCATTTAAAGTCGTCGTGTGGGGTTATTGTTAATCGTGAATTGAGGTTAATTGTGGTTGGTGTAAGTCGTGATGTGGTGTAAATGGTGGTTGGGGTAGAATGTGGTTTGGTGTAAATACTGGTTGGTATAAATCGTATTTTTATATGAGGGGTGGTTGATGTAAAAGTATTGATTTTAATATTAATTATAAATATACAATTCGTGGCTTTATATAAAGATTGATAAATATATTTAAAAAAATATATATAATTGTATGTTAATATTTAAATAATTATGATTATAAAGTACATTCGGAATGGGATATGGATTGTGTTAAAAAAGGTTTATTTAAAAATATAGATAAATGTAAATTTTTAAGGTTGGAAATGGATTGGGTGGAAAAATATAATGATAAATACAAGATAATATTAGATTGTTTTATAATAATATAAATAGGACCCATAAATAATAAGAAAAAAAATATATTAAATAAAGATAAAATTAAAAAAACAATTAAGAAATATAAAAATATTATAAAATAAATATATATAATAATAAATAGATAATTTAATAGGAATATATAATTGCTTTTCTATAAATATATAATAAATGAAATACATAAAATGAAATTATTGCAATAAATTGATTTTAATTTTTATATTAAACGACGATATATGTTTTGATTATTTATTTATGTAATATTTAATTTTTTTGAATTCATTTTTATTTTTTATTTTATGATATTTTGAAGA